TATAATGAATTACTTTTCATGCATTTATTTACTAGTTGTGTATCCAGAGTAAGCTATATTACAGAGAACACCAACTAAACATAGCCATCATCTACAAGCTTACCATATTTACCCATACATACACACATGCACTAAAGAGCTTCATTCTGCCAATGCAGGAAAGTGAACCCTAAAGATCTAGAACCACCTATTATTATGTAAAAAATACATTTGGAAGGCCATTATCTTCAAGATGAAACATATTTAATAACCATAGTGGATTCAAAGGAGACAACTTATTTCTGTTTTCTGTGTGCTTTCTTAGAGCTTGTACCACCAACTATATTGATTTTCCTTTCCTATTGTTCTGTTAACCATGTCTTTATGTTTCCAAAAAAAATGTTTCTATCATTGCCCTATGTTTCGACCTAAAGCTCCTTTCCAGATTAGAAACATATTTAAAGAATGTAGCAAAGCTGAGATTTATCCAAGGGCAATGAAGTAAACAACCTTACCAGAACATATAAATTTGTGGCTAAAAATAGTGTTAAGCTCACAAAGCGAGGTCATCTGTAAATGGAAAGCTGAAAATATTTCAGAAATAGTTTTGCCAACCTGTAATTGACTTTGCAGAATAATTTAGTTTGAGACATTTGAATAACTTCAACTGAGAAATGTTATATTAGCAATTGGGAACGTCATTTCTCTTAATACTATTACATTGTTAGACTGCACTTTATTTGAATGTAATATTGCAATTTATTGCAACTAGAGACGAAAGCACTTTGGAAAAAACATTTGTAGGGTCATTTACTAAAACACATCCAAATCCTGGCTTGATTTGAGCATACAATTTGACCAGAATTAAAAAATTGCAACAGATGCAAATACTTTCCTTTTTCATAGAAAAAGGAATGGGAAGATTGTTAAATTGTGAGAAGAGAGGAATTGTGGGAAGACAGTTAAATTGTAAGAGTATATATTTTAACCATCATTTGCATAGACTGTTGCAGGTCTGAAGCATCTCTCCAACCACTGTTGTTGCCCTTAGTACTTTGGTATATGGTACAATTATCACTAACATAACAATTTAAGACATTGTTAGCTGTGATTAGTTCATGTAGGTTTAACTCAATAGCAGTTACAAGTGTTTCCATTTGCAGGAAATCCTCTACATTGGACTTCCACAAAACGTATTTGCAGTCTAATACAGATCATTGTTTTTTTTATTTTTTTCTGAAAGAACAAGTGTTTTAACATTCAACAAGAATACTATCTGAAAGAATATTGTGACAGTTACCTGCAGCACAGCAAAACAAGCAACAGCATGCAAAATGTTTAATTGAAAAAAAAGATGGAAAACCAAATACTAAAAACATTTTAATGAAGCATTTTCATTTTTTGAAAGTTCAATATTTTGCTAACCCAAAGAAGCATGACATATATCTGTGCTGTATAGACCATCTAGTTCAGCATGGAATGTATCTCATCCCAAAAAATATTTAAGTAAGTTACACATATAGTGTGTAATACAAAATTCATTTAATATGTATCCTTTCTTGGAAAACAGACAACTTACCAATATGGAAGCCTAAACCTGTTCTAAATTTAATAAGAAGCAAAATCAGACCAAAAAAAGGAGTGAAAACTCATTTTACTCTTTCGTGAATCAGACCAATTCACTAAATGTGCAGATTTCTAACAGGTGAATGACCTATCACTTTTTGTGAGAAATCTGATTAGCCCATTTTGGCTACACCAATGTTAAGTTGCCTATTTTCCAATAAAAAAATCATTATTAAATCAATTTGGCATTACAAATGATATGTTATATTTGATGTATTCCAAGCCGAACAAGCCGGTCTATGCAGTACGAATGTACTGTATGCCATGTTGTTTTTGGGTAACCAAAACATTAAACATTTTTATATTATATTTCTAATTAGGATCCCTGAGAACTGTTTTCTTTATCAGCCTTATAGTCCACCAATGACCTTCAAGAAGCTTGAGTTTGCATGTTTTCTGGCATAACAATACATGAAAGTGTATGTATATATTACAGATTACATGCAAAAATAATTTCATGCAAACTAAACGGCAGAAGAACATGCATCAGTTAGCATCATATTGGTGCATCACCTCTTAAGTGTTTCTTGACATGGGTACATTGGTGATAAGTATCCCTAGCTGCATACAGTATTCTCTACAAATCTGTTTTATTTTGGAATAACCAAAGATACTAACTTCTATTTACCATTTATATATGCTTTATTATTTGAAAAATGTATAAACTGTCCATTTTTGAATACCTAATTCTGAGTACAACAGAGATACAGTTGACTGATAGTCAGAACTAGATTAAAATGAATGATGGCAAAACAAGGAAGGATATCTTATACCTCCAGTTAAATGAATGCAACAGGTGAACATTATGTTAAAAATGATCTCAGGAAGTAAAACATTAGTTTTATCACATTTGGAGAAACCATGCATTTATTGACTTCATTTGTTGAGTATTGCTTAGTAACAACAGCATACTAAGTAAATTTTTAATTTGTAGGGTTTGTACATATAGTTATTTCATTTTTGTCTTTACAAATACAACTTTGTACCCACTAAGGCTCACACCACAGATGCCTTGTAAAGAATCTTGGAATACAGAGGTATATTGCTCTGTATCGCATGTGCCTTGCATTCTGAGTTCACCAGAAAGGTTAATAGATGGTTTTAAATATATATATGCAATTATGCACCGAACACAGTTGAGCACTAAGGATCAATATGTGTCTGCCAAGATGCATTAATGTTCCTATGTTCATGAACCACTGATAAGTGATCACATTTCTAAATTAAGGAAAATATTTAAAGGAATTCATTGTGTTACTTCAGTGCGTACTAGCAAATGTTTACCTGTATCTTTGTGTCTGTTTTTAATGGGAACATTCTGAATGATTTTCTGTAGGATGTATTTACATACGTATTCACTTAATACAGAATGAAAAGTGTAGCGCTAAACCCTTATAATATAAGGTGAATCAAAAACATGTGAATTTCATAAATAAAAAAAAATCTAAAAAATGTGAAAAAAAAACAATATATGTGTATAGTTGCCCTTTCAAAGATCAATCTGTAAACCACATCAAATCCTACAATCACTTTGAAGTGGCTAAGTTGGACGTCCACTTTGGAGAGGGATCACGGGACATCGATCAATCTATGGACACTGTTTTTACACATATTTTGATATAATGAACTAAAAGATTGGTTAGTACTCACAGATCAATTTGTGTATGGGTCATTTGCAGTTTATATGTCAGATATTATATGTTTATTGTGTGCACTTTGATTTAATTGATTGTCAGTTTGATGCGATTTACGGACTGTGCATGGGCAACTATACTTATATTGTTTTTCCACATTGTTTACATCTGTTTATGTAAGAGATTCAAGTGTTTGTGATTCACCTTTTATTGTAAGGTTTTAGCACTACACTTTTTGTTCTTTATGTTCTGAATTTGGTATCACAAATTTGTGTGTAGGCTGCTCTACCCATTTGTTGAACATTCTGTTCACTTTGTTAAAGCACAGTGAATGGGAAGAAAGGTAGTAAAGGTAGTAAAAAAGACCCTGTCATAAACTGAAAAAAAAAATTGGGTAAAAACACAGAAAAAAACCCATTTTACCTGCTTACTTGCAGTGTTTTTCCTTTCCATATTTTTTATCACTTGCCTTTTGACATGGTAGAAAATGTGACTTTTGGATGTCTACACAAAGGAGGCTTATTTTTATGATAAAAAGGTTTTAGTTGTATCAGTGGTTTGGCAACAGGGTTGCCCCAGAAGCAATATGTATATCAGCCCCTGAAGCTAATGTTCTTAAAGCAGGGTTAAACCAAAAAAATTATTAAATTGCATCTTAGCAGTCATTAGATGTGGTGGTTGCATCAGTTTCCTTTTCTTTGGCTTTTTTCTCTCTATTTTCATTTGGTAATCTGGCCAGTAACACACCTCCCTTATTAGTGAGACACAACTCTGGATGAATGAGCACAGGAAGCACAGCAGACAACAGCATTGTCAGTCTATGGGAGAGGTTAGTGTTTAATGTATTAGCAGATTTAAACACAATAACAAATTGAAGCAGAACTCCAGCTCACACTTTATAATTGGTTACAGCCAAAGTTTGTTATTTTGGGATAAAGTTTTTACATGAATAAATAAAAGCTGATCATTGTAATCATCCTTGCCAGTGGTAGGTGGCTTGTCTCATCCATGTAAACTGATACATTCTACTGGAGAGCTTGAGCTATTGAAAAATAACATACTTACTGGCTGGATCACCAAATGAAAATAGAAAAAAAGCCTAAAAAAGAAGATGAATTCAGCCATCACATCTACTAATTGGTAAGTTGCAATATAGTAAATGTTTGTTTTTGGGTTTAATACTGCTTTAAAGAATGGTTAATGCAAAAAAAAATTGCAGGTAAATATCCATGAAATATTTGATTTTGGACCTTGATTTGCTGAAAGATTAGATCATGTTTTTTGCAAAGTGAACTTTCACTTAGTTTTATGAATATGGTGAAGTAAAAATTAACTTTGCAAAACACCCAATAATGTGCAAGGTAAAAAAAACCCCAAGATATTTATACTGTATACTATTTAAAGGGCTAGAAAGAGCATGAGAACAATGGACTATTCATAACTGTGTATATGCTCATATATCACAAACTATAACACAGAAAGGGATACATGTAAGCATCCAACTCTCTGAACATCCAATATAGATTAAACAAACTCCATTAAATAAAATGAAACAAAAATACATTTTCAAATCTATTTATCTTAAAACACTATTTTTCTTCCATTCTGTTTTGGTTACCTAATGATAAATAAATAATATGATAATCTAATAAAATCAAAGCAAATGAAAAAAATACAGTTGAACTTTAGAAACTATTTTAGACTAATACTAATGTAGAAACAAATAAACTATGCTAAACTGTGTCTGTTTGTTTATTCTAGATCTAGAAAAAAAACAATACCTGATATCTATATATGTAATCTGGCAGTGGCAGATCTTGTCCACATTATTGGAATGCCATTTCTAATCCATCAGTGGGCTCGAGGAGGCGAGTGGGTGTTCGGAAGTCCTCTTTGTACTATAATTACATCCTTGGATACATGCAACCAGTTTGCATGCACAGCCATTATGACAGCCATGAGCCTGGACAGGTAAATAAAATGTTTTTTTGCAAGATTCCATGGTAGTTTTACAAACATGCATGTGTAGGTAATTCAGTGTTATATGTATTAATTTTGTGAAAAGAAAATAAAGATTTAGCTGAATGCTCCCAACCATGATAATCAAGGGCAAGGTTAGATATGTTTTTTTCCTGGCACATAGTAAAGTCAAGAAAGTTAAAACAAAGGAAAAAAAAGCATGTTAATACCAGTTTGCCACTCTGACAAATATAGGTGTTCGTAATCACAGTATACAATATATGTCACAGGTGAATAGTGAATCACTATTTTCAAGGCACATTACTCTCCACGTGTGAACATTGTTTCAAGAAACTACCTTTAGTTTATACAAAAACTGTACTGCCTTCCTGCTGTTAGATGTTTGTTTTGGACGATTTCTTTTTTTTTTGCTATAGAAATAGGTTAGAAAAAAGTAAACTGGCATAGTTAACGTGACACTAAAAGATATCCTCATTTTCTAAAAACAATCTATACACATCCACTACTTAATTGCCCTGTAATCTATTTTTCATGAAATAGTTTCTTACTGTGTTTTTCTGCCTCCTTCTAACACCTTGTGTGAGCACCAGAACCTCTTATTTCCCCCCTCAGTTCCATTCATTTGGAATAAGCAAGGCATGTTGCGATCAGGTGCACTAATCTATGCACACTAATACTCCCACAGTCCTTAGATCCTACTCCATAGATCATAGTCCATCTCAGGGATGAGCTAGAGAGGGTGGCTACATTTCTACACACAATGGGACATGGAGAACAAAAATAGCAACCCTCTAACAGGAAGTCAGATCACAGCAGCAAAAAAAAGGAAGTTGGAGGAAGCTGAGAGCAAAAGAAGGTAGTTTTTTTTAGTTAAAGATTAAGTTTTGTTGAAACAAAAAATACAATCCTCTCTGAGTAATCTATACATATTGCAAGGATTTTAACACACCTTGTTACTTGTTGATTCCTACCTGTTGCTGCTCTAAAGAAAAGGCTGTTTGTTCCAATTTGTGCCTTTGTATAATTATAAATAAGTGTGACTTTGTCATTAATAATCAGCTGATTATTAATGAGGAAAACAGCTGCGTCAGAATTGATTAACCCTTTTGGAGCATCTCACCAAAAAATGAAGGATCTGCAGAGATTGTCTAAAACCTGACTTTTATCTTAGTGCAGACTTCCGGAAAAATCAGTAAGCCAATCACACAGCCAGGAAAAGACATTTCTGGAGGCCTTCCATACAGCAACAGTATATGGAACACCTCCAGGTTGCAATATTGCATTGAATTTTACAGAATGTTACAGCTTGCAGATTGAAAAGGAAACATAATTTTTAAAAGCATTCAGTTACAATATGATTTGTTCAGCAATTATATATGCAGCATTATTTTTTTGCAAATTTTTTGCTATGAAAGTGTGGTTTTCGTTTATAAATACATCCTTTAAAAGAAAGTAGTGCACTTGCCTAAATTAAGAGCACTAAGTGTCATTTCTGTCCGATGCTTCATTCCTTTGCTATTAGCATGAAGTATTTCTCACAAATTTTTCTGGCATCAAGAGAAAAAACGTTACAGGATAGGGGGCTCCAGCACACAGCTTGCGATTGGCAGCTTCAGATCTGTTCCTGTGTGCTGAGTTGATTGATGTCAAATTAAGACACAGTGTGTTCTGTGCATTCCTATGCAGGCAGTCCCATCCATATCAATTGGGACGCAGCCACTGCATTGGGCACAACCACTGCTCCCACCTTGATATCCATGTGGGTGCATGTCCCTGAACTCACATTGTCTGCATTTAGGGCCCTGCAACTACACCCGCATGGATGCCAGTTCTGTCCTTGCAGGTACTGAGTCTCAGTTGGCATGAATAGGACTGCCTGCACAGGGATACATAGAACATCTGTGCATCCCCATGCAGGTAAACATGGCCCTCAATGAGCATACACTTTATCACACCCCATTGAATGAGGCCTTAGTAGGAATTTATGAGGAATTTTGTAAGTTATGTTGTGTTTATGTGTGTTAATAAAGATATTAGTGGTTTTTTTTGTGAAAATATCAATTTGCGCAACTATTGTGGGGCCTAAAAAAATAAGTAGCGCCTTTTTATTCTACTGGTCATGTCCTTTCAGAAAATATATGGTTTAGGGTGGTCTTTTACAAACTCTGAAAGCTGTGAGTGAAAAATTAAAACCTCCAGTCTTTTAGAGGTATTTTTGCGTACGTTTCATTTTCACCATTTCGCAAAAAGGAGCAATTTAAAATTTGCAAATATTTTTATTAACTCAATACAGGTTATGCTTTTATATTTAGTAGGAATTAAGCAGGAATTTTGTGAAATTTGCTGTGATTGTATCTGCAAATAATGATTTTAGTGTAAGTTTAGTAAAAATATTTATTTGATAAACATTTGCAAATATATTGCAATGCCTTAAAATTCATATGCTTTTAGAAATAATATGGTGTGGTTGGTCTTTTACAAACTCTGAAAGCTGTAAGGGGAAAATGAAAAAGCAATGAAAAAATTATAAAATGGTCTGGCCACCTGATTTTAAAAAAATGGAGTGCAGGGCCTGGCAGAAAAAGGGTTAAGGTATGCATCTTCTGTACTTAACTCTGACAATTCAATGTCTAAATAATATTAATGTATGTCTTACATAAAATTAAAAAAAAAACAAAAAACTATTTTGAACTTCTGCTCATTTCCCCTTCTATGGTAAACTTTCATGTTCCTCTCTTATCTTAAGGATTTCACTGCATCCACCGTGGTGTATTCTCCCTGTCTCTTGTCTTTCTAGCTTTCCTCCTGAGTGATAGCCTCAAATTTCCCTTTTACTCTCTACATGCAGGTTCAGTGTCTCCTCTTTTTCTGTTCTCTAAAAAGCTAAAGAGCTCTCTTTCTTTTCTTTTTTTTTCTCCAATTTCTAGCATACGTCTCTGCTCCCTTTTGTTTAATTTTCTCAATGCCTCCCCCTATCACAACCTGCAACAGCTGCCTCCTATAAACTCTTTATCACCACTGATCTCCTTGTCACTTCACACCACTTGTTCCCACTTTGCACTTCCCCACTCCCCAAACCCCCTCCCACCCCATATCTTCAATTATTCCCAATATATTCAAAATACAGGCTTCAGATATTTGGTAGAAATTAGCTATCATCAGGACAGCATGCAAGCATTTGAATAGGGTGCATTTAAGAAGAGACAAGGCAGGTTTTATCTTGAAATAAAATTAGAGTGTATTATCTGAGAGGCAATAGCTAGAAAAACATTGTTCAGTGCCTGGGCATTATGTAAACAGATTGGATAGGTTGCAATATAGGAGGATGAGATGACGCATGTTTTATCTTTATGTTAAAATTACAGTATATTATCTATCTGAGAAACAATATCCAGAGTGTAGAAGCACCAGAATAGGTTGCAAATGGGGATGAGCTGAACATACTTGGGTTTGGCTCAACACAGGTTTGTCAAAAATGAGTAAAACATTTTTTAAAAAAAGGTAGGTGCTTCCTATGGGGGCCCCTTTTTAAAGCATCTTTTCCCAATGTTTATGAGGACAAGGGTCTCTTACCACAGCCTTGACCCAATGGCTGTCTATAGGTAAGTAGCTTTTTGATATCTGGAAGCCTGTACTGGAATCTGGGAGCCCCCAGATACTGCCCACACATGTGCACAAAACGTGAAAGGTAAATAAACGCACTTACACAGTTCTTTATTAGAAAAAAAATATCCATTGTACATCAATCACATTTTCCAATAATGCAAATTACGTCAATCATAATGAACAATGGCCACCAAATAAAAAAAAAATCCCACTAATCAATGGACACATGCCCGTCACTGATTAGTGCTGATTGACATTTCTCGGGCCACTGCTAAAAGTAAACATAAGGATGAGGGTGTTTTAAGTGATGTCATTGACCAAATATGGCTATTTTTTGTCACTGCCATTGTTATTGTGTGTAAACCATACAATTTGTGTTTATAAGGTTTGGGATTCCCAGACAGTAAATGAATGGGGCAGGTGATGTCACTGGTAGCTATAAGGACACAGCCTCTGCTTTCTTAACAACTAGGAACAGCAAGGAAGCTATCATGTATATTAGCAGTAATAACAGAGTAGTAATAGAGCAAGAAGTATGACCTTGCGTTTAGACAGAACTTAGAAATTTGTCAACTGAGGTCTAGCTGCAGAAACATTGTATGACACCTTTACAGTGCCTGGGCACCAGAGTAGGCCATGAACTTTGAGACACAAAGCTAAATTTATTCTGCAGAAAATATCAGAAATTTGGTATCTGAGGTCCAGCTGTAGATATATTGGTTGGCACATTTACAGTACACCAGAATAGGCAAGGAGAGGTTATAAGAAATGATAATGTTGGCAGGTATAATTTTTTAGACTGGTGGGGGACGATAAAGTTTAATCTGTAGCATTAGCAGAATGGGTTTTGTGATTCTTGGTAATCCAATACTGGCACATTTTAATGAAATCTAGAAGTTGCAGCACACATTGTGTGCATTTACTTTTCACATACTGTGCATGCTCCAGCAGTATATGTAATTACTGTAGTAAAGCCCCCAGCCTGTGCTGTTTGTCTGTAATAAATTTGTCTGTCTGTCTGGAATAAATATAAGCTTAGCCTATTTAAAATGATCCTGCTACTAGATTTTACACTTTTACAATTTTACACTGCTGTATTATCTGTGGTCACTTCATTCTTAGTTTGATAGAAATTGGCTGCCAATGTGTGCTGCCAATGTATGCTGTCTCTGAGACTATTTGTAAAAATTGTACTGTTCTGTAACATCAGGTAAATTTTTAAGGCATCCCCCAAGCATGTTATTTAAATGTTTGTGTATCTTCTGTGCTGGCCTTTAAGTGTCCTTTGTACACAGCTGATCACAAATTGAGGTAAAGGGTCAATCACAGTGGCCCTTTAGCATGTGATCATCTGTGTCCAATCACAGCTGATCACATGTAAACGG